TCCTGTTAACCAGGTATTTTCCTTAATTTCATAGTTTACAGCAGTAGAGCTGATAAACCTTCAGCCAGTARGACATCAGATCTTGTCTTTCATTGTATTTTGACTGAGAAAGAGGAACAATGTGTCAATATGACAGATATTAATTGGACTGAAAACTAACTGATGGGTCTCCAAGTGTAATTGCAAGCAGAACACTGAACACGGCAGAGCTCCCTTCCTGTGGATCTTGACCCCACACCACTTAATGTGTGATCGCTGACCTGCAAGAAAACGCCAAATCATTATTGGTGATCTGCAGCTGCACAGAAGTTGGGGCAGGTCGAGGACACCGAATGTAATCTGGATCACTTAATGAGCTGATTTTAAATAAACATGTTTTTCCTGCCACCAGATGTAAAGTCGTTAACCTAAGAATAGAGCAGCAGCTGGACTAAGGGGTTGGTGACAAAGTAATGGAATGCAATGACTCAGAAGAGGAATAATCAGCTGAAGATGAGCTCCTAATGAGATACTCAGAGGAGCTGATGCTTCCAAGGAACCAAAAAGCATGCACCAAGGAAGACAAGAGAGGTTTTTTACCTCTGTGTGGGCTCCAGGAAGGCTTCCTTGAGGGCTGGAAATCACACCTTGGTAAGAAAACACACAAGGAAGGCAGCTTACTAAGAAATTAAAGGTGAAGGGACATTTTAAATGCAGTCTCTGGGAAGGCACAARCCAGATTTAACCCTAAAGGGTTGTGAGGCCCTGGCACAGACTGAGAGGTKGTGGCTGCCCCATCCCTGGAATTGTTCAGGGCTAAGTTGGATGGGGCTTGAAACAACCTGATCTAGCGGAAGGTGTCTCTGGCCTGGCAAGGGGTGGAATGGGATGAGCTTTAAGGTCCCTTCCAATCCACATCATTCTGTGATTCCCTGATTTATGTGGCATGTTGCTAGCTGGACATCAGTCCAGGTTGCTGTGTATTTTTAGGACTGGATAAAGCTGTTCACTGGAACAATCCACCTGCAATTTGCCGACTGTGGCAGAGTACCTGTCGCTGAAGAATCGCTGGAAATAAGTAATGAGATAATTTTTTTTTTTTTTCCAAAGGAAACACTCTAGTTTGAACAAGYATTAATTCAGAGGAATCCGGTGGGCTTCATTAGGGATGAATTGGGAGCAAGTTATGAGAACAGCTCCTGCTAGATTTGTTCTGAATAAATACAGAAACCCCGTGGCTGCAGGCAGGGATGAAGGGAGGGGTGAAGCAGGCAGCACAAGCTGCACAGTTCCTTGGCTGTGCTGCCTGTGTGTTTCCAGGAGGGTGAAAAGGCTATTTTTACCTAACATATCCCCCTTCCCAGGTYTAGCCCATATTCTACACTTCTTTTTTGCATTATTCACATTATCAGTGTGAATCCTGGCTGCCATCAGCAGCGCCAGCCACAGGGCAATCAGCGTTTGCAAACAGTCACCAAAACGTGCCTTGGACAATTSATTGCCAAGATTTTTGCTTTAACTYTGGCCTGTAAGAGCACCRTCAGCCACTGGGAAASGTAAAGGCATTACAAAGGGACAATATAATCAAGCAGYATCAGCTTTATTGCTGTCCCCTGGCATTTGGAAAGTGTCAAATTCCCACTGGTCTTAGCCATTGTTTASGGGAAGCAAGGACTGTGGGCAGGCTTTATTGCTTCATTCATTTGTGTGGAGAAAACAAAATTGAGTTAAAATGTTTAAGTGAAAAATGCGTGAAAGGAAAAGTGGGAAACACAGAAGGCTGGAGGAAGAGAGAGATTTCCAAGATTTTTTTTTCTTATTCAGTGCTGATGGTCATCCTCTTACTTACGTCCAGAACACAGTTCTGATGGTCACTTATCAATCCTTATCCTGGGGCGTGACGGGTGCTGCTGCCTGGTTAATCCCAGGGATAGCAGGGGGGACCCGGAGTGCCTTCTGCCTGTTCTCTTTGGCAGCTGTTTCAACGGCAAATGCTAATTCCTCWCTCAATGTTTTGCTCTTTCTGGGAATTTAAAAATAACTTGCCTAATGAAGCAGTGCTGAGCAGCTCATATGTCCAGACAGATAGGAGTGAAATGCTTCAGTTCAGAAAGCAAAGTCGTCCGTGGTGGCAGTGCCTTTGAACAAGTCCCCCAAGGCCCTTTTTCAAATAATCCCAGGACTGGCTGAAATTAATGCTGGAAGAAATTCAGAGAAGTGGGGGGGGAGAATCACGTCAAAGAGCCCGGGACTTGGGAAGACATTTCTGGGTGAGCTGTAATCAGGCCCATCCTCTGACATCCCTTTAGCAGTGCCATTTAATTACTCCTTTACGGACAGGGTTTGATGTATGTGTGCTATAGCAGGGACATCCAGAACATGAAAGAAAAATGTGGCACATACTGAAGGCTTTTCAAAGATCAGTGGAGCTCCTTGTCCCTTGTTAGAGCAATAAGAAGCTGAGCACCGAGTGACAAAACTGCCTGTCCAAGGGCAGCCACCAAAGCACAAGTGGAGAAAATTACAGGCTATGGCAGTTCTCAGTTTCTCCCTCAAAAACATCTTGTTTTGTTACACATCCTTGATTTTCTATCTTCTGGACCTGGAGATCACCATCCTTGTTTAAGTTTACTCTGCAATGAGCTCTTCTGCCTTGACAGAATAGGACATGTGAGAACCATGAARGGTGAACATCCAACAGGAGCTGCAGGAATGGTCACAAAAGGAGYTGGGCATGATATGCTGGGAGGCAAAATTGCTATGGAAAAGCAGGCACAGGGTCCTGGGACATACCTGGCTTCTTCCTTTGGGCCAAGAGTGAAGTCAGAAAGCCTTTCCCTGCCCACTTTGAGCAGCCTCTTGCATTGTTTTACAGCCTAATTGCTTTCTGTCTGAAGTGAACAACTGTCTGAAGTGGTGATACTCTGTTTTTTAGAATTAAATAATTTGCAGTGCTTATCAGAGTATAAATGCTATTCTTCCTAATGTTTCAGTGCTAAAATCCTTTTTTTTCCCCAGCTAGATGAATGATGATTACATTCTTCAAATCAATTCTTATTTTTCTTTAATTGCTTCTTGGCACTGCTGAGTGACAGGGTCTGCTCTCCATCCTCAGAGGCTGCTGGAGGAACTCAGCAATGTCCTCATCTCCACAAGAGGAGATTATTGATCCTAAAAAAATGGTGGTTTCATTTGGGGCAGAAAGGATGAGGAAAGCATCCATCAGAAGAGTTTTCCAGGCAGAGATTCATGGTACAACCCTATGTTGACCCTACAAAAAAACGTAAGCTCTGTGTCATTTAAAGCATGTCCATACATTTTTTATTGAATTGTTCTTAGAGTGTAATTCATCATTCCCTTGAGTTCTGCATCAAATATGCCATGCTGCAAAAGGATGAAATGAAGCCAAAAYACAAGGATCATGTGTTACTTTGCTCTGTGCTCATGCCAGGGAAATGAAGGATTTCTACCACTGGGATTTAACTGCGAAAACCCAGGAGCTTCTATCCCTCTGTACAGAATAACRAATTTCAGCATCATGTTTCCTTCATCTTTCAGCCAAGAACATGGCCTGTGTRATGTCCAGGGCAGTTCAGGCAATGGCACATTTTCTTTTTTGTACCAGAATCATGACCTAATTCATAACTGTAGCCCTAAAATTGAACTGGTGACTTCTCCCTGCTTGGCCACTGTTCTCGGTAGCAAACGTGATTCTCCACTTCAGCATATTCCCTGTCCCCTGACAGCAGACTTCACACAATTGGCAGTAACAGAGCTCTGCACCTTTCTGTTCTCCATCCCCAGCCCTTACTTCAACCAACCTTGGCCAAAGCTGTGCAGTGGCTGTCTCACTGCACGGGCTCTCTGTGGAGCTCCTGGATCCAGGAAGAAGATTGACTCTTCAGTTCTTAGTTTCTGTCATCTTGGTGTCATAATCCCAGCAGAGAATGGAGGAATTGCAGAGGGATCATGCCAAGCACCCACCTTGGAACAGAGCCAGGGCCAAATCCAGCAGGTGTCTCAAGCCCAGGATCCGTGTGTAGCCAGAGCCAGCCCATGTCCTCCAGGGACTTGGGGTGATGCTAAATCCCTCTGGGCACAGGGACAACT